AAGCACAAACGGCGGTCAGGACCTGCCCTCCCACACCAAGGCAGAGGGTGACTACACTCGCTCCCCAGGGTAAACTGCAGCATACAGACACCATGATAAGGGGCAACTAGAATGCCCACCCCTGCTCGGCGTCTTTCAGTAGGAGCAACTCCAGAGTGGTAGAGTGTCCAACCCCTCTCAAGGAAACTTGTTTGGATCCAGAGTCACAGGTCGAGGTGAGTCCAACTATATCTAGCCGGAACCTCTCAACCTCGCACACCAACTTAGGGTCCTTCCCCACCAGGGAGGTGACATTCCATAAGCCAGCTTATGTTGCCGAGGATCAGACTGCCAAGGTCCCTGCTACCACCCATCACACATTGGACCCGACCCCTTTGACCCCTCCCACGAGTAGTGAGCCATGGGATCATCAGTGAATATTAATTTCACTATGGTTTTATCTAGGGCTGCAACAACGAATCGATAAATTCGATGAAAATCGATTACTAAAAGCGTTGGCAACGAATTGCGTCATCGATTCGTTGTGTCGCACAACTCTTCCAAAAGCGCCCCCCCTTCCCGCCCGCCGTTGCGCGCAGACCAGAGCAAGTCAGATCAGCGCGAGGGAGAGCCGCAGATCAGCGCGAGGGAGAGCCGCAGATCAGCGCGAGGGAGAGCCGCAGATCAGCGCGAGGGAGAGCCGCAGATCAGCGCGAGGGAGAGCCGCAGATCAGCGTGAGGGAGAGCCGGCAGATCAGCGCGAGGGAGAGCCGGCAGATCAGCGCGAGGGAGAGCCGCAGATCAGCGCGAGGGAGAGCCGCAGATCAGCGTGAGGGAGAGCCGGTACAGGCAGATCAGCGCGAGGGAGAGCCGGCAGACTTGAGCTGCTGCGAACCGGTTCCGCATTGTTGCACAGCGATCCAGGCAGCTGCTTCCAGCGCACGGTCCATTCTCAAAGTGGCGCAACCCAAAAACTATAATTAGCACACGATCGTTCATGTCCGCACATGTTCTCTATTTTCTGTCTTATTTGTGCCTGAAGCGCGCTACTGCGGAGCTCATCACCTGTGCTGTGGTGATTTCACCTCACGCAGCATCGAAAACGCGCTCTGCGCTTTTCGGTCAGGAGATCCCTTTGATCTGCTCAAAAGTAACTGATGAGGTGAAAAGGTAAGAATCCAGGCAACAGGTTTTCTGGAGAATTAAGAGGAGATGCAGGAAGATGAGAGACAGACAGGACAGGAAAATAGTTCAATAAAAACAAGAAAACAAAACAAAGTGTTGAAAAGTAAAATGTAGGTAGATTTATCTCCACTACACGTTTTTACCAGTAAAAAACAATAAGTTATACACATGTCATATTTATACATCTGATACAATTCAGATCACCTTCAAAACTCAGTCACACACCCAGGGCCGTTTCAAGACATTTTGGGGGCCAAGGCAAAATGCCCCCCCCCCCCCCCCCCCCCCCAATAACTGGGCTCCCCAGAAGCCTCTGTGTAATTCATACCCTCTCCAGTAGTGTTAGTTATACGGTGTTTATAAAAGCCCCTCAGACATTACTGACATGTTCTAATATTATCAGATGAAAAACTAAATTATCAGACATGCTGTCTCATCTGCTTATTTTATAAACTTGCAAAAAGTAACAAAACCATTTGAAAGCCACTATTTGTGGATTCTCTGAAAGTTTCCATGGAGTGTGTGACAACTTATTTTTTCATTGATCCTATCGTCTAATCTCACAGCTGAAACAAGCATCCTTAATAATCTGTGCACAGGAAGCTTACCGATGCTGTAGTAAAACAAAAGGTATAATAATTTATTATTAATAAAACCTTGTTGCAGCACTAAAGCAGAAAAATTAGATTTTGCATTAAATATGCAAAATATTTATATATGAATTGTTTTAGAGCCCTTTAATTGGCAGAATCTGATATTAATTTAGTTCTTACAAAAAATGGGTCCCAACATGGTTTGTGTGGCGTTGCCATAGTGTGACGTCATAGGCACAGATCCCCTGTCCTCTTGTTTGGAAATGGAAATATGATCACCCTACATTAAACAAACTGTCCACCCGGGCTTTTGCACTGCACAGAGACGCTTCGCTGCCTATGACTGAACGTCAGTTGAGAGTCAGTCTCATGCAGACTGACCAATGAAGAGAGGGCCTCAAGTTAAGACCCTCTCCTCATTGGTCAGTCCACACGAGGTGGGTCAAAGGTTACTCTGGGCGGGTTACGTGTTGTCAGGCATTCAAGTATTGAGTATATTTACTGCATATTACAGTAAAATATTCTGTATGTGACCACATTATGGTGATCCTTGGGTCGTGATGATGGAGCCCTTGAATATTGTTGCCCAGGGTACAACAAAGTGTTAATCTGGCCCAGTTTCCGCCGTCACATTCCCGCAGAAACTGGTTGATCACACCGGGGCCAGACTACTAGCTTGTGGTTTTACAACCACAATGTCCTCAGAAGCAAAAACGCTTTTAAAAGGGAGGGAGGAGTCCTAACTGTTGCTGCAGGCGTGTTGTGTGAGAGTGCAGTTATATACTGGTTAATATATTTTTGGGTTCAGTTGCTTTCATGTGGCCTAATGTGAGTCTATTTGGGATCATTGGAATGATCAGCAGCATTTCTTGATGTGACTTTATGGCAGTTGCCCAGGGCATCATCGCAAGGAGGATGGCATTCATTTACTTTTGTTTTATTTGGTATTTTTTCAGTCATTTTTGGAAATAGTGATCAATTTTGATAAATTCACAGCCTATGTTTAATTACATTTAAAATAAATGTCAACAGATGAGATCAAACAAAACAGATGAGAATTGCCCTTAAGCTGTTTAACTTGGACCAAGCATTTTAGGTCACAGATAGATGTAGCTTAGGGTCTCTGTCTATACACCTTATAAGACAATTTAGGTGATGGCATGTTGTTTTTCTGCTATTGAACTGTTTTCTAATAATGTTGTGTTAAATAAAGTGAAGGAAGGAGAGAAATAACGTTTCCCTAGCAGTTTTTAAAAATTTCCCCATGTAATCCGATTAATCGATTAATCGTGTCGAGACCCCATCCGATTAATCGATTATCCAAATAATCGTTTGTTGCAGCCCTAGTTTTATCGAAGGTTGTTTTCTGGGCATTTTATGTGTCAGGACTACCGGTAGTCCTTTTGCATCATGGTAGAAATTTCACATGAATTATTAATGTTCGATGATGATTTACATATTTGCATAACAAACGCTTGTGGAGCATCCCTCTTGTCTGAATTTGAGTCACTTTATGAATGAAGTGTCAGACCTGTGTGTTGCTCAGCCGACTTTGACGTCAGCTACATGTTTGTTCCGTTTTGAGTGAATATCTGAGGCTTGTGTCCCTCGCTGTGAACAGATTTAGACTTTGTCATATCACTAGGATTCATGCCAGGTTGTAATGAAGCACAAATACATTTTCCTACTCTTGTCTTTTTGTTCAGATTCTTTACCAGGTCTGGTTTTGAAATCTCTCCACTCACATTCACAGCTGGTAACATTTTTTACTTCTCGGTTCACGTCAGATTTGCTAAAAAAAAAGTCCCATCACAGGTTGTGAAAAAACTTCTCAGGGAACTGAAGTTGGAAATGAAATTATGCTTTCAGATCCCTTGCTACTTTTTAGATTAGTGCTTAACTGCAGCCTTTTATTCAGTCTTCATTAGACAAGAAATCAGTTATTTCCTTTTGTAAAGACATGTAAAGTGTAATGATTTAAATTACATGTTATTTAATAAGCCATAAGGCGTAGGATTCCATAGTAAATATGAAATCGACCTTATGGATCTGTGAGGTTATTTTAAACCAGAAGATTGGAACATTTTAATGCAGGGATTAGATAACAGCTTCGTATTCAGTCAGAGACAACAGAAGACAGAGAGTCAAGTTTAAAAGTAAAAAAAAATGTATTACTAAACAAATTAAATTAGACTAACTTTAAAAACTAAATGTATGGTGTAACTAAGGTGGATGAGACGGTGAATGGGGTGAGGTGTAATGTTGCTCAGAACCAGCAAATCCGAAGAAGCGATTAGTTCTGATGGGAACTGAAGGTGATGTCTTCGCGTTAAGCTTTGATTAGGAGGTTCATAAACACATTCAACACCATTTGCCGGTCTACATACCCTGAGCGGAAGTCCCCGTCTAGATCAGGAGGTGTAAAGGTCCAGCTTGACCTTTATGGAGCCAGAGCCTGTAGAAGGAGCCACGGCAGCCGACCACCAGTCTTGAGATACTCCCGGGTCACGACAATTTTGTTGGCATCTGGTGAGACCCACCTGGGTCATGATGGTTCAGCTTTTATTCTGAAAGGAACCGTTGCAGCAGTTGGAACAGCAACAGATTTTATCCAGCTTGTCGTTGGTTCTTTCGGTTGAAGAGGAAAGTTACGGATTGGCCACTCCGACACTTCTCTAGAACGCTTTGAACTGGCGTTAGAGATGACGTGGGCATAGTTTTATACTTCGGATGTCTTGGTTTATGGTCGAATGAAAATTTGACAGATTTGACCAAACACCACCAAAACCACGCCTCCGTCAGATCTGGCAGATTCTGATTGGATCAGTGAAAGCAATGCGTCATGTCTTTTAACGCTACGTGAGATCTGTCCTATTGGAACATTTAAAGTCATATGACTTTTATATTCTATAGGATTATAATAAAGTAATTAATATTTTGATTTCACAGATTGGTCACATCTTATTTATTGACTAACACTTTGCTTGATTAGCTTATTAAAATAGAGTTCTTTAATTAATTAAAAGGAGAGAGTCCATTCTTCATTCTTCTGTTGAGCTGAAAAGAAGCAGTTTATAGCAAATGCATGAGACCTTGAGGCAATATCTCATGCAGACTAGTCCTGTCTCAGAGGAGAGGGGGAAACGGTCATTTCATTCCGTTACAAAAGATTTAAATATACACCCCCTGACTCCAGCTTTTATTTGCTTTGAAAAGCTGTAGTTTATTTGTTTTTGTATTTAGGAGTTTGACCTGAACTTCGTGGCGGTAGTGAATGACACAGTGGGAACCATGATGACCTGCGGCTATGAGGACCCCAAATGTGAGGTTGGACTAATAGTAGGTAAGTCTGTCCCCAACCGTCCCTGCTTTTAAGCTCATTCTCAAATATTTAAACGTTTGAGCTAGGAGTCAGTAATGTATTAATTGAATAAGTATTTTAAGCTCCTGTATCATTTGGCGGTTCATGTAACACTTTGTTGTTTTCGACTCAGGAACAGGAACCAACGCCTGCTACATGGAGGAGATGCACAACGTTGAGCTGGTGGAGGGAAACGAGGGTCTCATGTGTGTCAACGTTGAGTGGGGAGCATTTGGTGACTTTGGAGAACTGGATGACTTTTGCACCCAGTTTGATCGTTCTGTCGACGACTGCTCTAATTACCCTGGGAAACAAAGGTATTTGTGGGAAATTGCAACTATAAAACATTTAAAAATGTTCTCATGTATGTTGTGTTTCTTAAAGGTACAATGGCAAATTTGGAAAACAATTTTGCTTAAAACATTTTTACATGCCTCTCAACAACATTTTAACATGGTATAGCTGTACATATATTGTGGATATGAGATTCTCTCGCATTTGTCTAAAAACATTCGCCAATAACACGTTTTGGACTGAAAACAACTATTGGACCATCTGGTTGTTGGTCTCACCGAACCGCCATGCTTCCCCGGGTCCTTCACTCATAACACATTTGTGTGTTTAGCAACAGAACACCACTGGTGTGAGAGGTTTGCGGCTCAGTAATATCAGAGAAGGAGAAACAGCCAGCTGTTACCACTTCATCTTTAGGACAAACTGCCATCCATCCATCCGTTTTCAGCTGGTTATCCGGCGGCGGGTCGCGGGGGAAGCAGGGAAGCCCAGCCACTTGAGCAAACTCCTCCAGGGAAATTCTAAGGCATTTCCTGGCCAGCCAAGAGACACGGTCCCTCCAGCGTGTCCAGGGTCTTCCTTTAGGCCTTCTCTCAGTTGGACATGTCCAGAAAGCCTCACCAGGAAGGCGTCCAGGTGGCATCCTAACTAGATACCCGAGCCACCTCAACTAGCTCCTCTCGATGTGGAGGAGCATCAGGTCTACTCTGAGCCCTGCTAACGTTCATGTTGCACAAGATGAAAACAACAAAGAATGGTGTTGGATCACAGATGTTCCACAAGGAACTACGAATATCCAGCTTATTAATGAATTCCAGATTTATCTATAGCTTTGTTGAGTTGTCCATATACTGTACAGAGTTTCTAGCTACAGGAAGCATTTTAATAGGATTAATTATTAAACGGCATTTAATATTTATGCTCTTGCTGGGTGAGTTGAGTTCAGCTTTTCCTCGGGGCTCCTGAGCAATTCAAATCAGTAACAGACATCTATAAAACTGATGCTCCCTCAAAAGACACCGTGGCAGCAGTATTACCCTGATTCTCCACCACACTGTGACTTTTGAAAATGGCATGGCAAGATAATTGTGGCGTTCGTGCCGCCAAGCTGCACAGTAAAATTACCACCATGGACATCACTCCTTCTAGCAACAAGGTGATGTTACAATTCTGTGTAGAATGTCCACCAAGCCCTGGCTGGCTCAATATTGAAAGTACAAGTAAACATGAGTACTTTTTGCTTTTGTAAACATTATCAGCTGTGATGGCTGTCTAGAGCCGTGCAGAGATCTGAGAGCTTCTGTCGTGTTCTGTGTCCCTCTGTCCCCAGCCTTCTGTTCTCCTCCAGGTTCTCCTCTTATGTCCCATTATTATTCCCAGCTCCCTCTGGCTTCCCTCTAGTTATTAGTTGTTGTTTTTTTTTGCCCTTAGTCTTTAGGTTTAGTTATTCCGTGTTTTATAGGTTAATGTTTATCTTCCCTCCTGCTTAGTTCTTTTCCCATGTAGTTTATTGAATGCACCTGCCTTCCCTCCAGATCTTACTCACACCTAATTCCATGCTTTCGTTCTTTTTAAACACAGAAACAGTTTTGTTTACCTGTTTTGTAGCTACAGTTTCGCCGACGGCTGCTGGCTTCTTCAGGCTGACGCTGATGGTGGCGCGTCACTTCCTTCTCCGTTTATCTGCAGGCAGCAGAGGACGTTGTCGCCCTCTACTGCCCGCTCTCCCCTCTCCGATGATGCAGTCCCGTGCGTGGTCCAGCGTGTAAACTCCGTCGTCCCTGTTCATGGTCCCACATCCACGTCTCCTTATCTCGATTGCTTCCTTGATCCATCTTTTGTATTTTTGTTGTTCGGTGGTTATGATCCGTGTGTTGTCCCAGTCCATTATATGGTTTTCTCTTAAGCAATGATCTGTTACGGCTGACTTCTTTATTGTACTTTCTGCTTCTTCTTTTGCTGCTCTTGTGTGTTTTCGATTTGCCTCTTTCTCACACTCCTTTCTATGTTCTATTGTTCGTGTGTTGAATTGGCGTCCGGTTTCTCCTATGTATGTTTTATTGCAGAGTTTGCATGGGATTTCGTAAATGACTCCACATTTAAGTCCAGCTGATATTTTGTCTTTTGGGTGCACTAATCTGTTTCTAACTGTTGTGTATGGTTTTGTTGGTGTGTTTATGTTGTGTTTTTTCATTGTTGCTCTTATTTTTTCCGTTATGCCTCTGATGTATGGTAGGTTTATCACTGGTTTTGGTTCTTGTCTTTCTGGGTTTCTGTCTCTGACAGCTCTTTGATACTGCGACCATGCTTCTCTCATGGCTTCAAAGGATACAGTAAACATGTCTACTCCATTTACGCTCCAGTCTTCTGCAGTTTTGCCTGATACGAGTACGCTTGTTCAGCCATGGGTCAGGCTTGGATTTAGTCCGTCTGGATTTTAATGGACCTGCAGTATCCATAGCAGCCAGACAGGACGAATTAAGAGGTAGAGAACCATCAACACCAGTAAATTCACAGGGAGCTGATTTCAATGCAAAAACAGTGGCAAAATCAGCAGCAGTAGAGGGAGTGATAACACGAGAGGAGCGAGCGTGGACACAGTTAATACGAGAAACAGAAGCCAAATCCAAATTAAACAAAACCAGTGAGTGATCAGAGAAAGTAGCAGGGAGAATGTCATAGTCACTAATTCTCAGCCCATGAGACAGAACCAGGTCCAGTGTGTGAGCACGCCCATCCATGGGCCCATTCACTAGTTGGGACAGGCTAAAAGAGTCAACAAGATCTAAAAAGTCCTTCATCATAGGTTTGTCAGGACACCAGACTTGAATATTTAAATCCCCCAGCAGGAGGAGGCAGTCATATTTACAGGAGACTTCAGCCAGAAATGCTGCAAATTCATCTAAAAAGTCCTTGTTATATTTTGGAGGACGGTAAATAAGTGCACACAGCAAGGGAGGGGAACGACCCAGTTCGAACGCACTTAGCTCAAAAGTTAATGGAGTTGATGAAGAGACAGTGTGGTTGCAGATAAGATCAGATTTAAATAAAGTCAACAGACCGCCGCCACGGCGCTGCGCTCTTGGGGTGTTAATGTAGGAGCAGCCAGGTGATAGAACTTCAGCGAGTGTGGAGGACTCACCCGGGGAGATCCATGATTCAGTGGCGCATAAAATGTCCAAGCTGTTGTTATGGAAGAAAAGTTTCAAGATAAAAATTTTATTCCCAACCGATCTGGCACTGATCAGCGAGTCGGCGGCAGAGCCGGTGGTGGAGAAGCACCTGTCCCAGCGAATCTCGTTACGTGCCGTAAGTTGCCGGGGTTTACTTCCTGCTGACGCCGATGGTAAAATGAGGAGCAGGGATGTGATCTGGAGAAGTTTGCAGGAAAAACAGGAACCAGGCACCTTCTTGTAGCATCCGATGAACTCTGAAAGCGCCAGTCTTTCTGCACCTGGTGATAAAACAGGAAAAGAAATCTGTTGCCCTATCCATGGTGACTGACAATCTGCACCAAGAAATGATATCTGGTAGAAGAGTAATAAAATAATTTAGCTATGTTAATAAGAGAGAAGAACATCTCAGGCTTCAGATTTCTATCTTCAGACAGTTTCCCACTGGTTTACACCTTAATGCATGTGACCAAAACATAAAGTAGTACTGGATAGTGTTTTACAGTAAGATGTGAATTTGGCCATCTCTTTGTTGTTCCACGTGATTAGTTTTCTTATCGTTCTTTGCAGGTATGAGAAGATGATCAGTGGCATGTACCTTGGAGAGATCGTCAGGAATGTTCTCATAGACTTCACTTCTAAGGGTTTGCTGTTCAGAGGCAAAATGTCTGAACGACTGAAGAGCCGGGGCATCTTTGAGACCAAGTTCCTGGCACAGATTGAAAGGTGAACATTAAAAACAATCACACGTTTCACCCTGTCAGCCCAGCAGAGCTATCTGTGTAGGTAGAGAAGACGTGAGTCTCTGTAGACCACACATTAAACACAGCTGCTTCTGACTGACCTCTGTTCCACCGCTGTGGAAACTCAGTGAGTGTAACTTGTGGATTTGTCTGTAAAACAAGGATTTTTGAGGGGAGGTGATTTATGCTCATTCTCTCTACTGAGTGGTACGCTGGCTGCTTCAGCTCTTCTCTCATGAGGATAGTGTAAAGCAGTGGTCCGCAAATGATGGCCCGCGGGCCACGTCCGGCCCGCGAGCCCTCTCTTTGTGGCCCCCAAACCCGCGCGCACCCCCCACCCCCATCCCTGATGGCCGAATGGGAGGTGTAGGATAGATAGAGCTGAGGAAAATAATCAATGCATGAGATGCGGGCATAAACGATTCTGCATCATAGAAGAGTACCATAATCAACTATAGTGGAATGTGGTTTTGTTATTTTAACGGCGGCACCAGCATAGCATCCACATCTGTAAGAGTGGTGTTCTCCACATTTACCGGGTAGGAAACTTTGGTCCGCCTTAATGTGGTACTGCAGGGCTGAGCGCTGGAGTTAGAACCTAAGACAGGACCCTAACCGAATCAGCCCGATCGGTTCTGTTGGATTTGGGTCGTGAGCTATGTTAATTGAGCGGGTTGTCGCGCGGCGCGCTCCGCTCGCTCCATCAGCGAGAGAGAGAGAGGGGGGGGGGGGGGGGGGGGGGGATCGGAGGACGCTCCTCCAAACACGCGTTATTATTTTCATAATTTCATTATTGTTTCTCCTGGAAGCGCTCAGTCAGAGTGCTGTGATGTCGGGAGATCCGGTCTTGGGGAGGGAGCGGGGTCAGTGACGGCGGCTGCAGCGTGATAGTCTGTCTCTTTTATTTAGGGACACGGAGAAGTTAAAAGGAGAGATGAATAGAAGATGGAAGTTCTTGTTCTACTTTATTCTGCTGTTTCATGAAGATAAACTGATGTTAAATTCAGCTGAAAGAGAAACTGGGAGGAAGCTTTGGTTCATTTTTAAGTTACAGGAGATCTTGTTTCCTATCTGTTCCTCCAGAGACAGCATGGACATGAGGGTTACTTGGTGAGGGTCACACAGGACAGGTTAGTGCCGTCACACAGCCGAGCTGGAGGGGGACAGGTGTTGTCCTGCTTTATATTGCAAGCTTGTGTGTTATGTGCATTACAGCCAACGATCCAAACAGCAACAATAGCAGCAACCCCCCCATCCCTCCGGCCCTCTTGCTTCTGGGTCTTTTTTGTGTGTGGCCCTCCCACCATTATAATTGAGGACCCCTGGTGTTAAGGGTTGAGAATGCGTGTAACAGTACAGAAGCAGCAGCAGGGATAATTGCTGGATTCATCACAAACTGGAACAATGCTGTCAGAATTACTCAGGATAATTGTGCTCTTCTTCTAAGACTTTATGGAAAAAGTCAGGTTCATTCTAAATTAAGGATGCTGTTAGAAAAATAACCTAAAAAAACAAAATTATTTCTTTTACCTTTAAAAAAACCTCAATGCCATGTCCCAGTTGACTGAGAAAACATTCCCAGTGCTGCGCTCAGATATGATGGAGCTGTGGTTTATTAGCCTAGAAATCTAGACAGACAGGAGTTGAAGCTAAACGATTTAGCTCTGCAGGTCATTCTAGCCACGTTCCTTAGGAGCCTCAGCAGGTCTACCATTGGCCCGCTAAACTCCATGGGTTTTATGGGCCAATCAAAGAGCTCTATCGGTTTTGTGGGTGGGATGATGCAAGTGGAACGACAAAGCTGATGATATCTCATTTGAAATGACTTTGGCAGCAACTTTGGACTATTCAGACTTGGGCTTTTTTTGAGTCAAGAGCAGTTAGAGGTAGGGCTGCTCGATTATGGCAAAAATAATAATCACGATTATGGTGACTGAAATTGAGATCACGATTATTTAGGACGATTTTTCAATTTATGTTGATTTTATTTGTTTTTATTCAGTCATAAAACTGCTCAGGGCACAATCAGGACGAAAATAAGAAACAAGATGATCACTAAAATAACTCCTGATTCCCAGTATAAAAAGACCAATATACTTATAGCTCATAGTTTATGACCCAAGGGCTATAGACCTTGGTTTAACTCATGTAAGTCTAACCAGTACAGACCCAAATACCAATATCTTGCAAATACTGACAGCAAGAATTATACTGTGGCATTCATAACAAATACATGCAAATAAATTGATGTTCACAAAAAATTGCATAATACGTATTTAGTCGTGTCAAGGTGCTGTAGGAGAGTGCACTAGCACCGTATCCTCAGAAAGATTAGTTATTATTTATCAGCGTGAGGAACTTATTTCTACCTTATTTATAAACTATTTATTTACAAGTCCATCAGTTAATGTAATAATTGTCCCAACCACAGCTGCACCCCCCACCCCCAACCCGGTCTCACAGCAATCGGGGCAAGCTGCACGTGTGTTTAGCGCGCCGCACGCGCACATTTAGCCGTTTTTAGTGGCTCAGGAGTCCGCAGGTACGGTGTGTGTGTCACTCACTCTGGTTGCTCCAACAAGGAGCCGGCTCCGAGAGCTGTTTTTTTAGCGACCGACATCGCTACATCATTCCCTTTCCTAATGTCCTGAAGAACGGTCCGGAGAGCAGGCGGTGTTTAGCTAACCTGCAGGAAACGTCGACGATAGTTATCCAGAAAGTAGCTAAGGGTTACCAGAGATGTTTCTGAGGTGTTCACTAGATACTTTTAAGTTAAAAAGTCAAGAAGGGGGTCTGAAAAGCTGCTAGAAATAGCGTCAAAGTCGCTAAATTGGCAACACTGTGGGAGGAGCGCTTCATTTGCAACTCGGGGCAGCGCAGGCGGGAGGAGCAAATAATCGGCTTGTTTTGTTTTTTATAATCGTTCAAAACTCAGATCGTAATCGTGATTAAAATTCGATTAATTGAGCAGCCCTAGTTAGAGGTACTTAAGTCATTTATTTAGAAAAAGCACGTATTTGCATCTTCTTTGACAGTGTATAGTGGACTTCCTCATTGACTGACCCCCGTAACGGTGAAAATGTCACATTGTCCAATAATATGCAGACCAGAGGTGGAAAGAGTACTAAAATTTCCTACTTAAGTACGAGTACCAGTACTTTGATCATTTTTTACTCAAGAACAAGTAAAAGTACTTGCCTAAATTTTTACTCAAGTAAAATTAAAAAGTATCGTAAATAAAATGTGCTCAAATTTAAAGTTACTTAGTTACATTTTTGTCAGCGTAAAGATGGTTACATCAGTGCAACACCACAACACCGGTTCACAACACGCTCGTGTGTGCACGCACACACACACACAAACACACACACACAGTTTGATGGAAGGATTTCTATCCAATCAGTGAGAACAGGACGTGCACATTGATTGGACGAGGTTTTTCTAGGATTGTACGTTTCGACTGTGATTAAAATTCTTCTTTATTTAAAAAAAAAAGATAATTTTTAGATGCCATCAGTTTGTGAGGTATCTCAACGTTCTCATGACAAAACTCTAACATGAGACTGTGCTCTAACCTGTCACATAACAAGCTAAATGAAAAACATTTCAGATGGACCGTATGACAGCTGCTAATGTTGGCCTTGCCCTACTTAACCTCTACATTACAGTTCCTTTATCCATGTCCATCCTAGAGCTCCTCTCTGACCTTCATGCTTATTTAGAGCAGCTGATTTTTAAAGTTAGCAGAGTTCATCCTTGGTAGTGGGTTCACTCACTCATTTAAAGATATCAGCCAGAGGCAAAATTTGTTTGAACAGCATGTGTAAATGTGTATTAAAACCTCAGATGAAAAAGGTTTTTGGATTTTGACGTCTGGAATCGTAAGAAAATCTGATGTTTGTGACCGGCGAGGGAAAAACAGAAACTAACTTCCAGTCTAAGCCCTGGGCAGCTGGTGACGCTTCACAAGGAGCTCTGCTGAAACAGCTGTAGTAAACAACGCCTGACTCCGGTGTTTCTGCATTAGCGTTATAGCAGAGAACAATGTGTCATCAATCAGATGTAGCTTCTGAAGCCTCTGCTAGTCGGTGAGATTTGTTTTTTCTCTGGGATACGGCGACGAGAATGGATATTGGATTACCAGAGAAGTTCAACCAAACTCAGACCCCGCCAGCTGGATATCACTACCAGAGGTGCAGACATGTTTTAGACCATTTAACTCCGAAGACTGCGGCCCGATTTGGACATAGAGGAGGATTCTGTTCATCTTCAGAACCAAAATTGGTACAGTTTGTTTACTTTTCTTAAATATTTAATTTCTGTGCTCCACCGGGAGCTCTAAGCTGACAAGTTTTCAGCTGGTCTTAGCTCCATCATGTGTCCCAATATAGTTCAGTAATCTACAGTTTTACTGCTGTGTGTATTTATTGATATAACTGGAAAATATTTAACCGACAGTTTACCAGAATAAATCTTCCTGATGCTGGAGTAACTCCTTAGCTCAACTCGTTGTTTGCACTAATCCAGGATGTCATGGAGGTTCTAATGTTGAAATATAGAGATCATCTTTTAGATTATATCTGTGTGTCTGTGTGTCTGTGTGTCTGTGTGTCTGTGTGTGTGTGTGTGTGTGTGTGTGTGTGTGTGTGTGTGTGTGTGTGTGTGTGTGTGTGTGTGTGTGTGTGTGTGTGTGTGTGTGTGTGTGTGTGTGTGTGTCGTAGCTTTCCCAAAGGACTTGTTCTTTCCTTACCGGAGCTAACACGCAGTGGCAGCTGGTGAAAAATATTTTTGGTGGGGCTGTGCTTTTTTTTTTTAAACAAACTTGTGCTTTCTGAGCTTTGTGCACAACTTCACTATTTCCTGAATTAAGCACAGCTCTTTTATTTCCTGTCTTACATCATTGGACAAACTGATTAATCCAGGTGTGTCTGACTATTGGCACACTGCCTTGCGGACCAAGGTTGAAAAATACTGCATTAAATTGCACATAAAATAACATGACCATAAATGGTAAATAGGCAATGCAAGAGGCAAGTAATAAAAACATTTTGTTTAATTTCAACATTTGAGTGAACACGAAAAATTATGAGCAGGTCACTGTTACAGTAATGGTAGTAAACACTACTTAGACAAAATGCCAGAAATTTACACTGTTAGGACTTATGGAAAGTGGAAACACTTTCATAGGAAATAATGTCATCAGTATCCTCTTACAGATGTCATATTTCCCACTTCCCAAGCTGGGAAATTTGTTTGCTGCAGCAGAAGTGTAACAAGTAAAATGGAATCAGCTTGATGTATGTACAAATTTACTTGAAATACACATTTACATGATTAAATACGTATGTATAATAGGTATGTGTGTTGAAATTAGTTTTTACAGTTATTGCACATTAAACAATGTACATGTTATTAAACAAATGTCCCGGTTTGTGGGACAACCAAGGATTTCTGATTCTGATTGTCTTGTTTACAGAAATGTAATGTACAGCTTACCTCTGCACCCAGCTGCTGTTGTTCTCCCTGGCCAAACGTCCTCCGTTTCTTTGTTGGCTGCTGCACTGATGCGCTGCATTCCTCAGTCAGAGAATGAATGGAGTCCCCAATGAGACACAAGTTCCACATCCACCTTCTGTGGATCCCAGCCGTTTTGAATAACAAACACAGAAAGCAAAATAACGCATTAGCGTGATTGCATCCAGCTAGCCACTGCTTCCTGGTGTACCAATTTTGGGAGAAGCGCCATGTGTACAGTTTAGCCTTCTCCTTCTCCTGCTGGCTTATCTTTACGTCGGGCTGATCTGGTCCAAGCTCTTTGACATTAAGTTTTTCCACCATAGATCTCCTCTCGAACGGATACTGGAGGAGACCGAACTGAATTCAGTGGCTGCTGAGATCCGGTATCCATGTTGTAGGCGCACTGTCTATGTCTGCGTCACGACCGTCAAAACGTGCTGGAGTCGAGACTCTCCGAGTTCTACCGAACATCAACGAAAGCCTTGGCGGTAGCTCTATCGCCCATCATGCTTCTGAAATGTTCTGAAACAACGTTGACGCTGATTGGATACATTCCCATTCCTACCCTTTGATTTTCTTGTCAGCAATTGGACAACTGGTCCCGTCTTGTTTGGGCGATTGAAAAACAGCACACAGCCTCCACCGCTCGCCAGAGACCGGCAGAGATCGGCAGAGACCGGCAGAGACCAATATAGATATATATACATATATGATTTATTTTTGTTACAAAACACACAACTTAGAATATGTGATTATTGTTAATTTTATTCATTTATTTTTTAAAATAAAAATTAAAAACACAGGGGAAACTGGGAGGGCGGCGCCCTATCGCCCTCTACAGGCCAGCCGCCACTGCTAACACGGTTAGCAGTTTTGCTGCAGTCATGCTAACGGGACTCGTCTAGAGTGCGGTTCTAGATGGATTTATAGATGTAGGTTATTATTTTAGATCAGACCTGTTATTTAAAAATGCGTGTAGGACACAGACACATGGCTCAGACCTTTTGCTGCAGCTGTAAACGCAGTTTTACGTAATAATTAGAGCATGAAAGTAAACAAATAACAGTGATTCTCAATACTTGCATCAGCAGCTACCTTGTTTTACTTGCTGGAGTGACGTAAGCGAAACACAGTTCTTCACTGTCTGGAAGAGAGGATTTGGATTTTCTTTAATGATTTATGACAAAAGTCCTTAACAAAATAAAAAACTGAACCCAGTACATGTTTATATAGATGGTAAAATGTAGTTATATTTCATTTCTACAATTTTAATGCTGAGCCAATACCTTTAACCCTTCACCACTGAAATCAGTTTTTTCATTCCAATCCTCCTAAATAACCCTCCAATATATATTATTTTCTATCATACATACACACTTTTTAATTATCATTTTCACATGACTGTTACCAGGCTCTCTTGTTCTGGTTCTCATGATAATTCCGTTTCTTCCAGTAAGTTATCTTGTGCTTACTTCATCTGTATAATGTCTTTTTACTTTTGGTGAATTGTACTGAGTCCAGAATAAAGGCTACTTGGCTGTACAAGATACAAACAAGTATTATGTTTTGGAAATATATGAAATGTATTTAGGCTGCTAATTTATCTCAAATACTAATAACTACCATATTTTCCGGACTATAAATCGCACTTTTTTACATAGTCTGGCCAGTCCTGCTACTTATACTCCGGAGCGACTTATATAACAAAATATGTAGGCTACACTGCGCTGCTGCAGGCCGACTCTGACCCAAGAATGAGTTCCCCTGTCCCGCTGGGAGGGTTTCAAACACCGCCATCCTCTACTGGAGACCGTGGCGCACTGCTGCGAGCCGACTCCGACCCAACAATGAGTTCCCCTGTCCCTCTGGGAGGGTTTCAAACACCACCATCACCTGCTGCAGCCTGTGGCGGGGTGCTGAGGGCCGGCTCCAGCCCAGGAATGAGCTCTCCTCGCCCGCCGGGAGGGTTTGAAACACCACCATCCTCTGCTGGAGACCGTGGCGCGCTACTGCTCCCGCGTTGTTCATTCTGTTATCGTTACCGGTGCTTGTCTTGCAATGTGAAATGCTTGGTCTCAGATTTTGTAAGAAAAATAATAAAATGTCCCCCCAAAATACGACTTAAATATGTTTTTTTCTTCTTCATTATACATTTAATGGCTGGTGCGACTCAGGAGCGACTTATAGTCCGGAAAATACGGTACTGAAAACTTGCTCAAAGCAAAATATATTTTCATGACGGAAATAAATTATAAACTTACCGATTTAATACTTTTTTAATCAAGGTACTTGTCACAAAAAAGCTCCGCAAACCTCCACCTAAACTTCGTGTGAGCTTCAGGTCGATGGGTGTTCCACAGTTAGCTCTGGTTGGGTTGAAGCTAGGGATTAATAACAAGTACCCCAATCAGATCTACCAGCCCTTGGGCCATTTGCAAGCACGACCCTCAGAGATTCAAGGAACAGGACAGTTCTGAGATGTCACAAGTACAGAACACTCCATCAGGTCCTAACTGGGTCATGGAGATGCCAGCTGGAGCTCAGAGAAGAGCAGCATCTCTTACAGCAGATAATCAACAGTCTGTGACGGCACACAGACAGCAAGTGAGGGCAGTGAACCCATAGAAACACAAACAGGAGCACCGGTCTGATGGATTCGATTTTTATTCACACTTGACAGGTTTTTGATGGCATGTGTGACCAAAATGGTCACACTCTGGAGCCCTGTGGGCATGTGTCAGTTAGCAAATGAGAACTCATCAGCCTGATCTGCTCCTGCACAGGAAACTAGCAACTTATGATGGCAAAGTTGTTCACTCTCTTTCTCTCTGCACACCTTGACCTTGCTGTTCTTTTCTTGCCTCTTTTCCTGCTCTTGCAGACTTGAACTGAAATTACCCTGAATTGTTCTTGTAATGGTCATATTTAAGTGCATTTCAAACCTTGGTACTAAAAACTCAAATGTCAAACAGCTTCCTTTTTCTGAATGCTTTAAAAGTTAGGGACATTTGTAGTGGAACTCTAGAAGTAAACAAACATCCTCCACTATATTTTCTCTCGCTCGTCTCTGATGTTATCCCTCCTCTGCTTCTAAACATCTAACACTGTAAACATTTTCTCTCTGTAAAAAAAAGTGTTGTTTGAAAACTTTTATTCCCTTTATGCAGTTAGAAGTGACTGCAGATTCTTTTTTACATGTTGAAGAGGTTCATGTGAGTGAACTTTCCTGTGAACATCCCTGCACTTTTGGAAATGGATTTAATATATTTTTTACTCTGATTTAAGTTGGAAAAATCCCCCAAAATGATTTTCATTATTATTTTCAGAGATTTTTAGCTGTTCAGCCTTTGCACAAAATATTTTTTCCACGTTTCAAAGCCTAAAACAGCAGAATGACTGCACACCATCAGCGGTTTCACCAGATGTTGAAGCTGAGATTTGAGACTAGCAGACATCTAACGTTAAACTGCCAGATTATGGATGTACATTAATCCTGTTGATGTGATTCTCTGACCCCGAAGCGACCGTCTGGCCATGCGTCAGGTCCGCTCCATCCTGCAGCACCTGGGCTTGACGGGCTCCACCTGCGACGACAGCGTTCTGGTAAAGGAGGTGTGCAGCGTTGTGGCCAGACGCGCAGCTCAGCTCTGTGGTGCGGGTTTAGCTGCTGTGGTTGACAGGATGCGACAGAACCGGAACCAAAATCAGCTCGACATCACCGTGGGAGTGGATGGTACCCTCTATAAGACGCACCCTCAGTAAGGAACATTTGCTTCGTTCTTTTTTATTTGAGGGGATTACTTAAGTAACTTGTTTTTTCTCTGTTTTTCTTATCCTAAAGTTTTTCCAGCATCATGCAAGAGACGCTGCAGGATTTGGCCCCCCAGTGTCGGGTGACGTTCCTCAAGTCAGAGGATGGAAGTGGGAAGGGAGCGGCGCTGATCACAGCTGTGGCCTGCAGGGGGAACAACCAAGGGCAGCACTGAGCCTCCTAAACACAAGCAGAGTTACTGTGAGGGATTTTCTGTATGAATAGTTTCTGATGCACACTAATCAGGGCTTATTCTACTGCCCTGCAGCATTTTAACAATGTCTTATTTCTATAGGTTTTTTTAGTCGCCAGCAGGCCAGGTCACATATGTTTTTATATCATCTTTTATTATTAAACTGGATTGTAATGTTTCCAGATGTTTAATTTAAATGAAAACATTTGCTCTCAGTCAAGTTTAAGAATAGAGGTGTAAAATCAAAGTGCCTCAGAAGAAATTAAAAGTAGTGATGGGCATAGATTAATTTTTTAATTTAGATTAATCTCACTGTAATCTTGGAATTAATCTAGATTAATCTAGATTAAAATGGCTCATTCAAATTCTGCCAAAGGCATATGTGTGTGCTACCTAGATAATGAATAAAAGCAAGTCTTTGAGAATGGAGGCGTATTTCTTGTTTCAACAATGCATCACAGACTGATAAAGCAGTTTTACTATGATAACTGATGATGAAAATAAATAATGATCAATAAGTATTTGTGTTTAATAGCTGTTTATTCAGTTCAACAAATTCTGCACTGTAGGTCTACAGAATAGGTCATGATTAACTATTTACAGTCAGTAGCATTTGGTCAATCAGTCCAAGCTCTATTTCTCCTTCTTCCACCAGTCACTCAAGCAGACCAGCTTGTTCACATTGTCTGGTGACAAACTAGATCTTCTCTTCTGCACAATATGGCCTGCTAAAGAAAAAAGTATATAGATATATATGTACACACACACAAACTATCTGGCCTGGGGAGGGGGTTAAATTTCTGGGGTGCCCTTCCAATGCCCCCC